GAAAACATGGGCAGGACTATGTCAATATTGTTTTCCACTGTAAAAGTGGCTCCTAGCACAGTGCCTAGCATGTGATATCTGTGGAATAAATTAGTGAAAAATGAATATGAAACATTTTTAAACAAATATTTAAACAATTGCTTTCACTGTAGTGGCTGATGGTGGTAAGGCAATTAGATGAAGGAGTCTTGATTTCAGCAACTTATCTGAAATTTGATTCATGCCTCTACATCATACTCTTAACTATAGAAAAAGTGTGTTTGTTAGTTTCAGTTTTTTTTCTAGAAAAATAATGGAGTTCTATTATTTTAAAAGTGCGGTAATTGCACAGCTTTAATTCATACTATACAAGGTACTCAATCATCATAGATCGTGATATTTACTAAGGAAAAAACTACAAGAAGAGATTTTAGAGAGCTTTTTTTAAAAACAATATCATTTGGGAAATAATTTATTTGGTTTAATTGACCTGTTTAATTTCAGCTTGGCAGAATTAGTCATTTCTGGAATATTGTAGTTAATTGGAGTTGTGCTTTCTTTGAATTCAATTTGACTTTTTAAAAAATATCTGTTCTTTAAAATGGATCCTTCACTGTGAGAAGGGATGAGTAGAGCCACGACAGTTTACTTCTAGTGAAAATGTTTTTTTTTTTTTTTTTGAGACGGAGTTTTGCTCTTATTGCCTAGGCTGGAGTGCAATGGTAGGATCCCAGCTCACTGCAACCTCCACCTCCCAGGTCCAAGTGATTCTCCTGCCTCAGCCTCCCCAGTAGCTGGGACTACAGGTGCCCACCACCACAGCTGGCTGACTTTGTATGTTTAGCACAGACAGGGTTTTACCATGTTGGTCGGGCTGGTCTCGAACTCCTGACCTCAAATGATCCGCCTGCCTCAGCCTCCCAAGGTGCTGGGATTACAGGTGTGAGCCACCATGCCCAGCAAAAAGTTCTTATTTCTCTTAATAGCAGTGTGTTTCCCCTCCTTGTAATAATTTAGATATTCAAGAAAAAAATAGTTCAATTTGTTTAAAGTTTTTTTTTTTTTGTCAATTAGGAGTATATACTAAACTACAAAAAATGATGATTTTAAACATTTATTTTAATTTTGCAATTATGGTTTATTGAATGTAACCTGTTTTTATTCTTGCCAGATCAAGGAGAAATTAAAGAGATTTTAATGTAATTTAAGTCAATGAAAACATGGGCAGGACTATGTCAATATTGTTTTCCACTGTAAAAGTGGCTCCTAGCACAGTGCCTAGCATGTGATATCTGTGGAATAAATTAGTGAAAAATGAATATGAAACATTTTTAAACAAATATTTAAACAATTGCTTTCACTGTAGTGGCTGATGGTGGTAAGGCAATTAGATGAAGGAGTCTTGATTTCAGCAACTTATCTGAAATTTGATTCATGCCTCTACATCATACTCTTAACTATAGAAAAAGTGTGTTTGTTAGTTTCAGTTTTTTTTCTAGAAAAATAATGGAGTTCTATTATTTTAAAAGTATATATTTTATTAGAGGACTTCTTATAATTTTAAAAAAAGATTTAAAAAATAAAAATCAGCCTGGAAAATTTATTGTCCAAAATTTTCTAATGGCAAATGTATGTATTTTAGTACCTCTAGCTAAGACCTATGACTCTTTGCTATAAAGATGGTCTATGCACAACACTATATACAGAGATGTACTGCTTAGGGTCACCATCTTGTCTGAGCCAGACTGGGAAGACTAATAGGAAGAGTCGATCCTTCAAGATGAATAAATTCACTGAAATGTTTGCTTCAAATGATTCTGTGTTCCATCACAGCTGGAATACTTTTGCAGACAAAACATTAAATTAAAAGTCAATTAAGAAAGTCAAAACAGTCTAACTGCGTTTACTCCTGTATTAATGTAGCATGTAGGATTTGGACAGCTGAGGGGCTGTGTGTAGTGTGTGGGTCCTTAGGACTCTGCACATTTCTACCCTGGGTAACAGTTAGGTGACCTCTGAAAAATCTGAATTCCGAATAGCCATCTCTTTAAAGGGGCTCCTCTTAAGAAAGAACTTTAGAATATGAATCTGGAGGAAAAGAGGAGGAAAAGAGAAAGATTTTAGATGAAACAATTGTAGCGGGTGGAGCAGGTGGGTTTCACTCATATGAAAGACCCTAAAATGGAAATGATATAGATTTCTGTTTTTTTAAAAAAAGAAATGCTGTGGTGTGTGTCTGCACATGCACCTGTGCATGCGTATGTGTGCCTGTCATCTACATCAATTAAAAATGGACATGTTCGTTCTTTATTTTCTTGGGCACTGTTGGGGGAAAATATTAAAAAATGAGGTACATTTTAACAACCTAACTCTGTCAAAATTGAGTAAAGCAATCACTGCTATTTTTGTGAAACAGAGGTAGAAGTCAGGTCAAGGCATAATGTATTACACATTTTCAAAAATGTCATTCGACTGCATTGTAAGAAAAAAAACCTGAGACAAGGTAAATATACTAGATACTCTTTTTAATGAAATGTTTCACACCTTTCTAAACTTCTTATTATCCGTTTATAGAGCCAGAAACATTCTAGATGTCTATAGCTTTTATTTTGAAATAAAATATTGGGATTATCTAATTAAATGGGAAAGCCACTTTAAGAGCTAAGCAGCTGTAGACAAATCTACAATGAATTTGTAAGCAAGTCTTTCTAATAAAAAATAGGAATAGTCAATGTGTGATCTTTGAAAGTGGTGTCAGCATAGCAGTCCTGGCCTAAATGTAGGCTGGCAAGGTGTATCGTAAGACAGGGTGAGAGGGATGCCATACATAGGTGGTGATTCTTTAAAATACCTGCCTTCGGCTGGGTGCGGTGGCTCACACCTGTAATCCCAGCACTTTGGGAGGCTGAGGTGGGCAGATTACCTGCGGTCAGGAATTCGAGACCAGTCTGGCCAATATGGTGAAACCCCACCTCTACTAAAAATACAAAAATTAGCTGGGCGTGGTGGCACACACCAGTAATCCCAGCTACTCGGGAGGCTGAGGCAGGAGAATTGCATGAGCCCGGGAGATGGAGGTTGCAGTGAGCCGAGATCATGCCACTGCACTCCTGCCTGACCAATAGAGCAAGAACCTGTCTCAAACAACAACAACGACAACAACAAAAAACAAAACAAAACAAAACAAAAAACACCTGCCTTCAGTCTGCTTGAGATCATATCCAAAGATTCGCCAGTAAACTTGTGAAAGATCTATATATATGGCTTCATAACCCCCAAATAGAACTTTGTTGATTGAACTACACTTAAATATAAGTAACTCCAGTAAACTATCGTACATAAAGTTAATGTGCTCTTGTAAATGCTCTGATATCGGTTGGCTTCTAATACTGTCAGTATCTTGCACTACTCACAAATTCCATGTGGATTTCAACAGTGGATCTATGTAGATTGCCTTGCAATATTCAGATTTTTAGATTTCAGTGTTATGATCAGTATTCCACAGAAAAGTTTGGCATTATTAGAAAAAGCAAGGAAAAAAGGCCATTTTATTCTCATATAAAACTTCTTGATTTGATATAGAAGTATGTAGCTTTTAGTGTTTTTATACATAGTGGACAAAATATTTGGTATTCTCAAGCACAGGAATTCTGTGTAAATAGTACTCCTTGAAATTATGAAACGTGGTAGTCTGACCTAGTACAGGAATTCTTAATTCTTTGGGCGTTATGGACTCTTTCAAGTTTGATGAAAGTTACAGAATCCTCCTTTGGATTCTCATAAAAGCCCTGTTGTTGTAAGTGTTATGGATAAGGAGGCTAAGGCTAAGAGCTTAATTGGCATCACTGGTTTTTGATTGTATGTCTGATTCCAAGTTCACACTCTTCCCCCATTCTCCCGCATATTCCTTCAAATTTCACAACATGGCAAAGTAAGTCCTTTCAGAGCTGGTGCTGACCTACATTGTCAGGCTCATCTCCTTATTTCCCAGGTGCATCCTAGGTAGAGGTCACGCTGAACTACTTACAGGTATTTGAAAGTGTCATGTTGACCTTTCAACACCCTGTTCCCTCTCCCTGAAAATCCTTTCTTATTTTGTCTGCCTCTCTAATGTTAGTTAGAGTACATTCCTAGTTGTACTTGAAGACTCAGCTCAAATGTCACCTTTTATAGGAAGACTTTTCTGCCCTCTTCTTGGCCACCTCCACCCTCTTAGATGCCCTTCCTCTATGCTGTCATTGTACCCTCTGCATACCACTCTCATAATTTCATTTATCAAGCTGCACCATGACGGATGTCTACTTGTCTGTTTTTCCACTATTCTGTAAGTATTTCAAGGGCAGACATTCTGTGTGTGTGTAAGATCTGGCCAAAGCATAGTAATTCCAGTGACTTTTTTCTTCTTGGAGTCAAATATACTTTCCTGTAATGCCTGAGTAAAGATACATTTTTTTTTTTCTAAAGAACTCTAACACCTGCAATATTAATGGGGGCCATATGCTATTTCTCTCTCAGCAGCCTCAATCACACTGATAACATTGAAAAAATGCATGCTTGTTTCAAAGGAATAATTTTGACCCCATTTCTGTGAACAGGAATTTATATTTTACCAGGCAATTGTTTCTTAGTAATATAGTTCTATTTATTTTCTTGGTGAGTTAGGAGGAAAAATAGTATGTTAAAATATTTGTAACTATACATTTCAAAGTATTTAAACAATAGTCACAAGGTTTAAATGTATCAAGAGTTCTGGTTACTTTTATATTCATCGATACTATGTCACCAAATAGGTAGTGAACAGAAATGTGTTACAAAGATAAATGAAGTAGAAACATAAAAAGAAAAATAGTAATTTTAAAGCAACTTTAAAATAAGCAAACATGTCTTTATAAAAAGGAATGGAGTAGGAGGAACAGAGATCGACAAAATTATTATTATTTTTTTCCTACAAGAACTTATATTTTATTACATACTGAAAAGATTGTCACAACTTACATTTCCTCTTTTTTTCTCCTCCCTAGGCCAAGTTCACAGATGACTGCAAGTTCAGGGAGCGTTTTCAAGAAAACAGCTATAATACCTATGCCTCAGCAATACATAGAACTGAAAAAACAGGGCGGGAGTGGTATGTGGCCCTGAATAAAAGAGGAAAAGCCAAACGAGGGTGCAGCCCCCGGGTTAAACCCCAGCACATCTCTACCCATTTTCTCCCGAGATTCAAGCAGTCGGAGCAGCCAGAACTTTCTTTCACGGTTACTGTTCCTGAAAAGAAAAAGCCACCTAGCCCTATCAAGCCAAAGGTTCCCCTTTCTGCACCTCGGAAAAATACCAACACAGTGAAATACAGACTCAAGTTTCGCTTTGGATAATATTCCTCTTGGCCTTGTGAGAACGATTCTTTCCCCTCAGGAGTTTCTATAGGTGTCTTCAGAGTTCTGAAGGAAAATTTTTGGACACAGCTTCAGCTATACTTACCCTGTATTGAAGTCACGTCATTTGTTTCAGTGTGACTGAAACAAAATGTTTTTTGATAGGAAGGAAACTGGAATTCTTTGTACTAATACAGGGAGCACACTGCTTCAGGTCAGCAAGACATAAAGCCTTTTGCTTTATGCTTGAGGGATATTTAGAACTTTTATTTTCGGAAAGTTAAATAACATGGACTATGTATTTTTCTGACTTTTACAGATCAATCTGAAAGAACATACATGGTACATTTTTATTTTTGGTTTCCAAAGAATATTTTGATGCAGAAAAAATATTTTGTTAACTTTTGTTTTTTTGTTTGTTTTCTTAAAAGTACCTCTGCATTGAGCATATTTTCTTACTTTTATTATTTTAATTAATATGACATAAGCAATCATTTTATGCTGTTTATGAATTATAAATGTGTTTATATCTCATTTGTAATGTGGAAATCTTTTAAATTTTTTCTATTCACTGCACTTTTTTATTGTTTTTTATTTCTAGCCATACCTCAGATAATATGTTTAGTTTTACATTTTAAAATGTTTAAATTCTCTTTCACAGCACCAAAGGCTCAGCTTGGATTTGTGTGTATGTGTATGTAAATTCATGACTTTATGTGGAATCCTACACCTTTGGTGGCTGGGATATGATGGGTTATAAGCAAGGAAAAAATATAAGGACTTTTTAATAGAATTAAATGTGGGAGGTAAGGAAAAGGATTTAGAGGTAAACGTACACTAAGTTTACAACATTGATTGAGATCTAAGTCTGTCTTGCCTTCATTTCTCTTTTTATCCCCCTCTTGCCCTCATTCTTGAACAGCTGGAGGAATACATTTTATTCTGTCCGTGAAGCATACACCATGAGATTGGAGTGCTTAAAAATACTTCTATGATTCTCTGCTGTCCCACTGTGTAGATCCACAGGGAGCAAACACTTAGCAACGATAGAGAACTGAAGGAGCTGAATGGTTTAACAGTTATCCATGCCAAGTCCCGTTGTCAGAAATATTCTTATTACTCAGGCAAACACTCTTTGAGCTTCCCTTCCTAAAGGTAACCATTTCAGTGAATAGATGTGCACTTTTATAAGGAAACTTCTGATGTTTATTTAAAAAACTGGCCTTTTGATAGAGGTAAATTAATCTGGGAATTCAATGTGTTGAAAGTGGCATTTAATTTCACCTTAAATGTTGACTGCTGGACATAAATCACAGAAAATTTAACTTAAGAAAATTTACAAAATTTATTATCAGGTAATCATTTTAATAAAGTTCTGCAAAATACAAGTGTTTACATTACATTCCGAAATGTGGCAAAAAAGATATAGCTAATGGTTAAAAGTATGACTTTTGTAGTAACAGAAGAGTTCATAGAAATTTCATGGTTTGCATTTAAACATGTTTAAAGTATACTTATAAACTATTTTTTCCTTAAAGCAAACTATGATTTATTTTGGTGCAAATACAAAATGGAAACTTGTTAAAATTGAGCTAGCTACCATATAAGCAGATTGCTTTAATTTGATGGGAAAACAGTACACACATATATATAACAAATAATATATCTAAAAACCCATCCATCAACTAAAACATTATACATATACATTAGTATAGTGTTTTATTATAAAGCCAATTATCTGATTAAACATTCTTTCCGCTTAATGCATAATTTTTAAATAGCATAAAATGAAATGCTACAAAAAATTGAACTAATTTATACTTTAAAGTATTTCTGGGTTAAATGGAACAATGAAATTTTTTAAACAAAGATATGCCCAACTCTTATTCAAATGGCATATCACCGTGTTTACACAGTATAAAGCTAAAAATATTACTCTAGTTTATTCTAATCTATTGTTAAGTATTGTGCGCTGTATACCAAGTTCTTAGGGCACATGAAAAATTTCAGTTGCCAAATAGAAACTAGTAAACATATGTTCCTAATTAGTGAACGGAAAGATAATAATGATGGTCAACAACAGGCCACGTTAATGAATAAGTTGTATAGGCTAAATGTTGCTTGTAGGCTACATTAAACTCAAATGTAATAGTTTATCTTATACTCCTGGTTTGATTTGATTAGCATATGAACATGAAAGTAGGATAACTACCAAATATATATTATGCAAGTCAGGAATCATTAATTTCAAAATTTAAAGCATTCTAAAATTAAAAAGAAAATATTAAATTACACAATTACACTTCTCTTCACTGGCCATACACAATGATTTTTTTTTTTTCTCTTTGAGACAGTCTTGCTCTGTCACCAGGCTGCAGTGCAGTGGCATGATCTCAGGCTCACTGCAACTCCGACTTCCTGGTTCAAGCGATTCTCCTGCCTCACCCTCCCAAGTAGCTAGGATTACAGGTGCGTGCCACCACGCCAGTTCATTTTGTATTTTAATAGAGACGAGGTTTCACCATGTGACAAGGATGGTCTCAATCCCTGGCCTCTTGATAGTCCTGACCTCGTAATCCACCTGCCTCAGCCTCCCCAAATGGCCTGGATTACAGGTACAGCACGATGCTTAATGAATGCTTAGTGAGGCATAAGTTACCTACATCAAATAATTAAATGACCCTATGTACAGACAAAGTGGTATAAATATAAAGTCCATACACTAGATGCTCTACAACTTTCTAAGAGGGTTCTTGCCTATACATAGCTTTTATTATTTTTAAGTAACCATGAACTACCAAATACCAAAATTATTTGATTATGCGTTATGTTCATCTAAACACAACAAATAAATTTTGTATATAATTTAGAAGTCTATTTTGCCTATAGGTAAACAAACAATCTCCAGACTAACATGTCAGTTTTATCAATTATATGTATGTTTAAATTTAACGATTTCTTTATATGGAACATCATATAGAGAGTAATAGACTTTTCAATGAAGATGTAGGAAACACTGTGGATTTTTCTGTCACAGAGTCTCTCTTCACTTCCTTCTAAAGAGGGAACTAATTTTGAGAGTTAGGGTGTATATTAATGTTCTTGATTCTTCAGCTGAATTACACTCGGGTCCAGAAGTTCAAAATCATTGTGGCAATAAATAAGAGATACTGGACAGAAGTCATTTCCAAGTTTGTTACATATATTTAAATAATTACATATATAACTTGGAGACTTTTATTTCGTTATTTTAAAGCTTTTTTTCTGTAGACTAAAATATGAAAACATAAATCTGGTAGGTAAATTCTGATGAAATCGATCCTTGGAAATGTAAGAAATGTACTGATCTTTCCTTATCCATTAACATTTTTTAACCCTTCCAAAGAAGAGGGAATAAAGCATGACTTAGTCCATTTCGAATAAAACCCAAAATGAACGTATGGCACTAACCCAAAAACTTGCATTCTGGCATCATTTTTACAGTTGCAGAGAATTGTTTCTGGGCTCATTAAAAATATATGATTCCATTGCCGCAATGGAAAGCAAACAATAACTTCTTAAAGGAGTTCTTACACCTCCTTTAACATTTATTTCATTGCTACCTCTAAATTCTGATAATTTAAAATCCATTTAAGGTGATAAAATTTTTAAAAATTTTGTGGAAACCTCTGGATAAATGGACAAGGCCTTTTTTTTTTTTTTTTTTTTTTTTTTGTAGTCAATCAAATGTACGGCCAAGCCAACTTTTGAAATAAATTATATGATTAGTATTAGCAAGAACAATGAGTACTGCCTCCATCTTACTCTGCTCGCCTATTTGAAAGTCTCAGGGGAGAGAAGGGAACAAGATGCCGACCTAACCTGAGTGGTCAGATGAGGAATCTTTACATCTAAGAATTTTTATGACATTGAATCAGTCAACTGGGCTACACATCATCAATCAGTATTTCAGCAATTTTATGCAATAAAAATAACATTAGATTATAAACCAAGAACTCTCATTTATGTTTTAGTTTATTAAATGGTTTTTGTCTTTATTCAGACATGAATCACATCACTTTCTAGCACCTGTTTTCTCCTCCACCATTTGATCTCTAACATGATTTCTAGCTCTATTACTAGTGATTGTAGGAGTCTTACGATGTTGAAAGTTCTATGAGGTCATAAAAAGGGACATGTTCCCTTCTGTAATGAAACCAAATTTAAATTTATGTCCAGATGAAACTGGACAACTACATGAGAAAAAAAGCTGTCAATGAAGTTATAAATATAGATCTTTTAAAAATATCTTTTCTTAGTTTAAAAAAAAAAAATGCCACTGAGTAAGTGTGTGAGATTTGATCAAGACATTTACAAAGCTGGGATCGATTTTGGGCTTAGCATTTTATGAAGGATGTGAAAAATTTGAATTAACCTGGAGGGGGAATGGTCAGAGTGGTATCATTGTTGATAATAAATAGCTCTACTTAATTAAACATGCAATTTTAAAAACATTTCTTTTGTGATTAAAGTTCCCCATTCACCATAAAGCCTTCTAGAAATTCTTGAAGAAATATGAGTAATTTCTTCTTGACATTACGCCTCCAAATAAGGATAGCTCAGGACACAATTTTCTGTCACCATTCCCTTACTTTCCCCAAAATTCAGGAAGTGATTTCTGAGATCCCTCCTTGCACAAGGCACTGAGCTAGTAAGACATTCTTGGACTTGCTCAGTGCTTGTTTAGTAGTTCTTTGTGGATATTTACATCAACGTACTATCATATTTTGAACTTCTGGAGAAAATATACCTGCCCTCATTGCACATTTCCCACGCTAAAATCAGGCTAATAAAATTAACTTAATAAATGCTCTTAGTGAAAAGCAAATTTGAATGATGTGTTCCTCTGGCTTAAACCCTTTGTAGAGGCTATTGGATATTCTAGTTATTCACCAAACTTACTGTATAATTATAGGTTCCTGGCATATGTTAGTTGCTCAGAAATGCTTTTAGGATGTATACAGGTGCTGAATAAGTTTTATCGGACAAAAATGATGATGACAGGTAAGATAATTTCATGTTAAATATGAAATATATCCTACAATAAGAGTAAGAACATCCGCTGCCCCTCCTACTGTACTTGAAGTTCTCAAACATACATTTTTAGACCAAACTAAATATATCAGGCACTTGCAGCTGCATTTAATTATCAATACATGTCATCATATGACACTTCAATTTCACTGGCAATCATAAAAATAGGTTACTATGCAAATCCCAATGCTTTTGCTATTTGTAGGCCAAACAAGCAGTCTGGTAGGATGCCAGTAGGTATCAGTGGGAGAATAAAGGCATTTCTTTTTGGTAATTTATTTCTAGATGTGTTTGTCCCTTTCCCTAGATAAACTCTCTCAGAGAAGACTGACATTTTTCTGTACCCTACAGAGAGATTAGTGAATGCATAATCACACAGTGACAGGTCCGGCTCCAATGTGTTTCTCATTAAATTCTCTGTCGTTCCCTCTGCGGGAAACTGGACAATTTATCAGATTTTCATACAGGGAGGTGAATTTCTGCTGAGGAGGCAACACAATGTCTTTTACTCTCCGGAGTGCAATTATGGCTGAGCTTCCCCGACAGTACTCCATTTTATGATAGGGTTGTCGTTGTAGGAGGTATGCATTCTACAACTCGTTTCTATATTCTGACACCGGTTATATATTTACACTTTTTAAAGTTAGCTAGTTTTCCTACATTCGCCTTAATACAGAATGTCTGAGATTAAGCATACCTATATACTAGAATATTAATTGTACAAGGAGAATATAGAAAGACTTCTCGAACAGTCACCATCTTAATGGAGCATGTGAGAGAATGAGTTTCAATTCTGGAAACAGAAAAGAGTGTAAAAGCGTGTGTTCTCAGTCAATTCTTGTTTTTTCTTTTTGAATAAAAGATGAATTTCAAAGGGGAGAAAAAATATGTTTTCTGTTTAAGTAATGAAAGAATAACAATTATGGCAATAATTACCATAAATTTTACCTGAGATCTGGAGTTCCTGTAAGTTATGATTAGGAGGAAAAGTCATGCCCATTTATTTATGTTGCCACATTAGTTGTATCACTGTGTAAAACAACAGATCAGCTCTGACAGAGAGTTTGTTTTCACCTTAGATATCATGTTGCCTAAGATTCTCAGCCTTTACCATTTAGTGAGCAAGCGAACAAATGAAAAAAATGCACACGCATCCCACCTCACTGGTGCAGAGCAGAAATCACAAGATTTTGCTACTAGTCAAGGGAGTTTAATGTTTAATGATACAAAATCAACTCAGTCTAGCAAAACTCCAAGGTCCAAAGGAACCAAGCAAACAAAAAGAATAATGATTTCTTGATTGCTAATAATTTACGGCAGAAACCACTAATAAGTTTCTTTTCTTTTTGTTTGGTATTAATTTATTTGATCCTCATAAACTTCCATCATGCAGATACTATACTATATTCCTACTTTACAATTGAGGAAAATAAGGAATAACTGAGCTTTTGATGACCAATCAAAATAGGCAGTACCTGCCCATGGTATTAGAAGACTCTGTCCTAAAGTTTGTTCTTACTGTGCGTTTTCTCTCTTTCTTCTCCTTTCTTTCTTTTTTTTTGAGATTGTATCGCTGATTTCTTTAAATATAATAACATATATAGTAATATATATATATTTAAAGTTCATTAGCGGTACATGTGCCAAGTGTGAGGGTTTTGTTAATATTATATATGTGTCATGTTGGTGTGCTGCTGCATCACTGTAAATATCATTTACATTAGGTATATTCTAATGGTTCCCTCCCCCTCAACGCCAGACTCCATCCCTTCCGCCGCAGTATCCCGTGGCCCTGGTTGTTTGGTGTTCCCCACTTGCTGTGCGAAGTGTTCTCTTGTTCAATTCCCATTAAGGAGTGAGAAGATGCAGTGTTTGTGTTTCCTGTCCTTGCTGTGTTGTGCTCAGATGGTGGGTTTCTGCTTCATCCATTGTCCGAAAAGACATAAACTCATCATTTTTTGATTGAGCTGGCACAGATACATTCCGATTGAGTGTGTCTGTGCCACTTTTTTCTTATCCCGGTCTATATTGGTGGGACGTTTGGGTTGTTCTGGTCTTTTATTGTGATAGTGCCAACATACATGTGCATTGTGTCTTTTTAGCAGCATGATTATATCCTTTGGTATATACCGTTAATGGGATGGCTGGGTCAGAATGGACTTTTCTAGTTTTATCTTGAGGGATTGCCCATTGTCTTTCACAATGGTTGAAATGTTTCATTCCGCCCCACAACCAGTGTTAAAAGTGTTCTCCTATTGTCTCCCATCCTCTCACCTGTTGGTTTCCTGATTGTTATGGTCGTTCGTGACTGGTGTGGGGAAAGTGTATCTCATTGTGGTTGTTTGGATTTGCATTTCTCTGATGATCAGTGATGATGAGACTTTTTTCGTTTCTGTTTTTGGCTGTGTAAAGTGTGTAAATGTCTTTCTTTGGAAGTATCTGTTGTCATAGCTGTTGCCCACTTTTGTATGGGGTTGTTTGATTTTTTCTTGTGAATTTGTTTAAGTTCTTTGTAGATTCTGGATATTAGCCCTTTGGCAGATGGTTAGATTGCAAAAAGCATGGTACTGGTACCAAAACAGAGATATAGACCAATGGACCAGAACAGGGCCCTCAGAAATAATACCACAAATCTACAACCACCTGATCTTTGACAAACCTTACAAAAACAAGAAATAGGGAAAAAAAGATTCCCTATTTAATAAATGGTGCTGGGAAAACTGGCTAGCCATATGCAGAAAGCTGAAACTAGATCCCTTCCTTACACCTTATACAAAAATTAATTCAAGATGGATTACAGACTTAATTGTCAGACCTAAAACCATAAAAACCCTAGAAGAAAACCTAGGCAATACCATTCAGGACACAGGCATGGGCAAGGACTTCATATCTAAAACACCAAAAGCAATGGCAACAAAAGCCAAAATTGACAAATTGGATCTAATTAAACTAAAAAGCTTCTGCACAGCAAAAGAAACTACCATCGGAGTGAACAGGCAACCCACAGAATGGGAGAAACAACTAATAAGTTTCTAATAAAAGCATTCAGTGTTCATTTAACCCCTTATACCTGGCATTATGCTGGGGTTCTGGCAATAGAATTAAACATATTGGTTTGAGGGAAATTTACCTTCTTGCTGATAATATTAGGGAAGTGAACCACAGCTTTAGAATGTGATATTCAGTTCTTGGTAGGATAAAAATGACACTTATTCTTGCCAAAAAAATTTAGTTTGTTGGGTCACTGTTTACCAAGATAGACCCAAAAGCTTAAGCTATAGTTTACATTACATGTTTTAGAAGTAACTCACAAGTTTCTTTGATGCTCCTTTTGGGAATTTATAGCATTTTTAAACTGATTATTAACCTACAGGATCTTATCAAACATGCAAGATATTTCTATGCTTATTTTAAGATAATTAGGGATCCACTAGAATGTAAGAAAATTGTGTGTAGACTTTTCTAATTCTATCTGCTATAACAAACATTTACCTTACAGCTGGGATTGGAAAAGCAATACGATTTGATTTCAGGATTGCTCAGAAATTGGAAAAAAACTGACCTGTGCTTCCCAAATTTATTTCCCAAGACAAAGATGTCTATAGCACAGAAACGTTTGCATGAATTAAAAAATCAAGATGTATTATTAAATATGGTCCTGAGTATTGCTTAACATTTCAGTTCTTTTTCTACCTGTTTGCTGGAAGCAAGAACATTGTTAACAATTTAGCACCTTTTTTATTAAACACCACCTCCCACTGTTGGTCTTAAATAAAGGATTATATATATCAGACTTCCTTTGAGAACAGCTGCTGCTTTTTGGACTGCT